CGAGGCCAAAGGGCTGGGAAGGGGCACGCTGTGACTGTGTGGGCGATGGGGACACAGGGCAGACCCCTCCCTCAGCCCCTCAGGTCCCCTCGGTGCATGCACACTGCGGGACAGCCCCCGGGAAGGCAGAGCCTCAGCACCACCCGCTGCTCCTCCAAACTTTATTGCTGCAATAAATAAACACGGTGGTGCTGCCCGGTTGGGGCCGCACCGCTCCCCGAGCCCGAAGGACCAGAGCACCAGGCAGGGCAGACCCGTCACCAGAAAAAAAAAGAACCCTTTCCACAGGGACACCCCCCCACACTTTCAGGGGGAGCTCCAAGGGGAGAGGAGGTCCGTGTTGTGATGGGAGTTCTGCCAGTGGGGCTGTGCCCCAGGGTCTGAGAACAGACAGAATTCATGTCCTAGATGAGGGGAAGCCTCTCCCTTTGCTCCTTGCCCTGCAGCCCTGCAAGGACAGGGCTTGCGGAGAGGGTAAGGGCAGGGATGGCATGGTGTGGGGCAAGGAGGAGCCCCCATGAGGCTGTGATGGCCTTGCCCTACCCCCCAGCTCCCACCCACAGGGTCTTCCCATCCCGCTTGCACCCTGGCATGGCTCGGTGGGCAAAGCCGTGGGAGACCGGGGTGCCCTGGGGCAGGGGGGGGCTCAGGGCAGGGTTCAGCAATGGGACAGGTGAGAAGCAGGGAGCTGTGGAGAAGCAGGGGCTGAGCCTGAGGGGCTGAGCCCAGGAAGGGGGGGTGGTCCGGATGCAGCCGGCTACTTGGTGTGCTTGACGCACAGCTCCTGCTGACGGATGATTTGGGCGATGGGGCTGGCGATGCCACCTATCAAGGTCCAGTACTCCTCGAAGCTGATGCGCCCGTCTCGTCTTTGTTCCAGGTCGCAGATGAGCTTGTCAGCAGCTCGACGGTTCCCGGTGTCCTGGGGGGAGAGAGCAGAGCCGCTCACAGCGGGACGGAGGGGAAAGCGGGGTGCGGAGGGGACCCCATGCAAGCGTGAGGAACCGGTCCCCTGGCCCCACGCCCCCCGGCCTCACCGTCAGCATGTGATTGAGCTCGCAGCTCAGCATCTTGCGGAAACCCTTCTTGCTGATGCGCCGCGGCTTCTTGCAGCAGC